AACCTACATTTTTATGAACAAAGACATATTACATAATAAAAAATACACAGAAGAGGCGTTTGTTTGATCTTGTAGTCGTTGTTAATGTCGTTGTAATTGCAGTTAATTTTCTTTTGTTAGCACAACGGCCAAGCAAAATAAAAGTCTTAATGAGATAGTTACCCCCAAAAAATCATTTATTTACTAACCCTCATGTTTTTCCAAACCTGTATGAGTTTCTTTCTTCTGTTGAACACAAAATTTAAAGAATGTCGGTAACCAAACAGTTGATGGGTCGTGTTTTTTTTTTTCATACTATGGAAGTCAATGGTGCTCATCAACTGTTTGGCTACTGACATTCTTCAAAATATCTTCTTTTGTGTTCAACAGAAGAAATTCATTCCAGTTTGTAACAACTTGGGTGTGTAAATGATGATGACAGATTTGTCATTTTTGCGTGAACCGTCTTTTTAAATGGTTAAAAGATACAGCACAGACCCAACTAACCAATGATATCTGTTGTCAACTTTACATTATCAGTTTCATCAACATTCCTTAGTTAGTAAGCACCATATCCCTTTACCAATGTCTTTGAAAGGGTGTTTTTGTGTTATATGGACAGGGCCGTTTCCCTCGAGGGGATCGGGGGAAGAGGTGTTCTCAGCTGGACACAACCTAATTGTAAAACTTCAAGAAGAACACAGGCTTTTGGACTCCCAAAAAGCTCAGTGGAAAAGGTAGTTGGGTGAATTGAAGGCTGAGTCAGCAAGCAACTCTGGCCCCTCTTAAAAAAAAAAAGAAGAGGGTGGCAGGGGCCAAAGGAAGTGAGGGATGGAAAGAGATGGAGAGAGGAGGGGAAAGCAAAAGAGCTGACATTCCTGCACTCTGAGTCAGCGCCGCTAGGCACTTTTCTGGCAATCTTTCACTACCTTTACAACCAAAAGCACCGGAAAGCACTGATAAAAGGAAGAGAGGGGAGACCATCCGAATGCTAAGCGTCCAACTAACTAAGCTGTGGGTTCGTCCTGGAAGTGTAACGGACATTTCTTGGAATGTCGTCCATGGCTACCTCAGATAAACATTTGATTATCTCCCAACATTCAGAGGGAGCACTTAAATGCAAAGCACTCAATGAAAGCATTATGAGCATACTAGCAATGGTTAAGTAGTAAAAGGCAATTAGTTTCACTTAATAAAGCCCAAGAATTCCTCATAACTTGGCCTCTTGCTTTGATTTCCAATAACACATGACTGCATTCCTGCCCTATGTAGTGTGCATATCTGTGTCCTGCTCCCCCTCTGCTATGGGCGGCATTCCTCAGTGGAGTGGGGTGACATCCGTCAGCAGGACCTCTAATGATCCTGTGCTGCCTAATTCACTACTTAACATAAATTACAATAGAAGTAAGTGCAATGGTAAAAGTAAATGAGGCTGACAGCTATTGTGAATCTGTGTGGGGGGGAAATGCCTCAACTATAAGTTATATAGCCAAAAACATGATTCTGCAGAATAAATATGCACCTTAAAATCTCATATATTATTAAAAGCTTAGTACACAGAGGCCAAATGGAGCAGGTTGACTTGTAGCAAATGTGTCAGAACTGCGCATGTCATAATCGTTCCTAGAGTATCAGCAATGCTAACGTTAACGTTACTCATTCACAGTAAGAGGATGCGTGCAACGTTTAAGTTACACATAAACTGATAAACGTATTTAATACAATTTCAAATGTTTTCAAAGCACGAAATCGTTAAAACAAAGGATAAGCTCAATGTTTACATTCGCAATATTGGAACTTTTGCAGGCTGAGTAAAACTCGCTTAACTTAAATAAAAAAGAGTCGTTGTAAATCGACTTAAATAATGATTTTCACGTGAGTAATCTGTTATAAATGTATTTACCTTGATAAGTTTTCGCCAAGTCCCGCTTTATTTCGATCTACCGCCGGTTTTGCGCGTCCTAAGTCCGTTACAAGTTTTTCGGCGGCGTCGAACACGCTTCACAAAGTGCAAACGCCTCAGACCGAGGGGGACTTTGCGATCATCTTTGCACCATTGTTCACATTAAACGCGTTCCCCCTTCTCCTTGTCATTTTTTTGAGTTGTTGAAATGTGTTTTCTTCCACTAGAAGTGTGCTGTGAGGGGAAGGACTAGGACTGCCCTCCTCTTCATACGAAACTTGCAGCGAAATTACTAAACTCAAGAGTCGTGAGGAGAAAAAAACGGTTCCCCTTTGCTGAGAACTTTAAGGGAATCCAAAGCATATTTTTTTCTAAAGCCAGGAGAGCCCTCCTTCAGAGAGTTTGTCGATTGTTCCTGTTCTTCTGTTGGCTTTAAGGAACGTCGCTCAAGCAAGAAAAGTACAAAAAGCTTTTGTGTGGCTTGAAGATCAGGAGCCTGTCAAAGAGTCTTATGTAGAGCAGCCCACAGATTCAGTCACTTCAGAAGAAAATAATTAAAGAAATGTAAAACGTCTTGCTTCCCTCCTCAATAAATGCCATATTTTTTTACAATACACTTCTTCATCTATTAAAATAGTTCACCCAAAAATGTTAAGTTCACCCTGAAGTGTATGACTTTCTTCTTTAAGATAAACACAAACAAAGTTACATTTAACAATATCCTGGCTCTTTTCACAGATTTAATGGCACTGAATAGTGCCAGAGTTTTTGAAGCTCCAAAAAGCGCATCAATCCATCCTAAAAGTAATCCATATGACTCCAGTAGGTAAATAAATATCCATATTTAAAACTTTATAAGCCTAAACTTCTGGCAACGGCAGTACGCGTTCATGAGAGAGTTGAGTCCCACGGAAGAGTAACCCCTGACATGACAGTTTTAAATAAAAATGTTGGAGGATTTCGATACGTTTTTTGCAGGAAAAAACGTCTATTCTGACCTAAGCTTACCCTATATCATAGGTAGCCTAAATAACGTAGGCTAAGTTGGCAATTATTATTTAAGAGTTAGCGTTGTACATGTAAATTTACTATTACATCTGCCGGAAAGGCAACTTTTGTTGGATGTATTGAGTCATCATGTATGTGGCTTTCCATTGTACCACCATTGTACATTTTACAATATGGATTTCAATAGCTCAAGGTAGGTAGCCTATGTTAATCTTACATAATTTAATGAAATAAACAGGAGCTGTAAAATAATAAAATACCATCCCCTAAAGTTCTAAAAAAAAACACAGTAAATTTAACAAGAAATTTTTTTGTGTTATTGTCAATATTTCTCTGGACTCTGAGAACAGCTGCAGTATAATAGCAAATATGGCGGCATTTGCAAAAGCCTAATGATAATGGCTTGAAAGATGCCTTTCTACTGAATAAACAAAACCACACCCTATAATGGCTCTATCCTCTCATACTTTCTAAGATGAATAGCTCTACATTTGTTTGAAGTAATGCTAAATGTTCAATGGGGTTTATTGTAAACAACAAAGGAATGTTACTGATAGGCTCAGACCTGTAAAATAAATGTATTACCTATCTGAATGAGAAACAGACTACTACATGAGACAGAAATACTTTGAGGCCCTTCAGTTTTCATGAATAATTATTCATGCAAACTAATTAACACCTATACTGTGACATTAACATATTCGGTGTAAAGATGAGTGACAAAAATGCTTAAAATCCAGCCTGAAAGTGTCTTAAATTTCTTTCTTCAAAAAAATAAATAAAAAAATGTAAGACAAGAAAAGCATGTATTCTTACCTAAAACTGAATCAGTGACTTCCAGGAGATCTAATCCAGTAAATCCATTTTCTGTGAAGGAATAAATATGTAAAACTGTTTACATACTCTTCTTATGAGAACTAACTGTGAACACAATTTATTATCGATGAGACATTTCAAACTTATAATACTTGTGTTTGGGGTGGAAATATAATGGCATCACAATACTATATAACTAGGACCCAAAACAAAAAGTCAATCTCAGCAAAACATGAGAGTTGAACACTGTAACCGAGCGCCCTCTTGTGATTGCGCCGACACGTTTGACAAAGACAAATGATTACATTAACTAAAGCACACACAAAAGTTTACCGTGATGTTGTAACTTTGTATGTTCGATGAAAATGAATCACCTCACCCACAAAATTCTGTGCATATTGAGGAAATCCAATGTGCTTCATCCATGTGCACACTTGGTCTGGGCTCCACTCCTCGACTGAAATCATGCTTGTTGTATTTACACTCTCGTCTTCTGCATCTTTTCTTAAAAATCCACATAACACAAGCACCGAATGGAACATACAAACACCAAACAATTACCTATTATAAAGATCTCGATTCCGTTGGATGATCAGTAACGTTACACATGCTTACTGTGCTAGCATTCTGATCTCTTCCACTGCTGTTTGTTGTGATACAATTATTGTTTAAAAGATAAACACCCTGTCATAAGACTTTACTGACTTATTCTTCGCATGTGACATAATTTTAAAACAAAATCTTACCCCGAAATCAAAAAGAACCCCGCACTTTCCGCTCACAGCTGTTGTTGAATGACGCAAACACACCTCGGCAGGTGAGGGCGGGGCTAAGACGACGTGCATTATGGGAAATGTAGTACAGATTAAGGGCTTTCAAACGTCCGGAGAGGTTATTTGCATAATTTTCGCTTTTGATTACACTTGTGTGTTCCACAAGATGTGTGCTACTAATATTCGCCCTAGAAAGTCTTTACGTCAGTAGTATAAAAGCCGTACAGAGATTATTGTCTCTGTCCAGACCCTAAGCAAATGCTCGGCTCTTCTCCACAATGGTAACCCAGAGTAATTTAAATTGTTCTAATCAGTCCAACACCACTGAAAATTGAACACTTACACATTATTACCAAGTCTCCCCATTTTTTACTTAAAGGAGTAGTTCACTTTTAAAAAAACAAAACAACTTTTGCTTATAATGTACTCACCCCCATGTCATCCAAGATATCCATGTAATTCGTTCTTCAATTGAAAAGAAATTAAGGTTTTTGATAAAAAAAAACATTCCAGGAAGAAAAAAAAGTTTAAATATTTTTTTATTTATTTTTTTATTATCATTCTTTCCACGACAGGTTGTCTGGGTCTAACATTAGCCCATTATAATATTTCTAGTGCATCTCATAAGCTGCAGGTCTACGACAAGTGCAATATGGGGAGAAAAGTGTCTACATTTTTACAGGTCCTCAACATCTGTAGGAAGGCAACAAATATCAAATATAAACTCTAGAATTACAACACAACGCTTTACAGTGAACACTACAACAGGACACACATGAACACTTAAGCAGTTAACAATCATAACAGGAATCGTCATTACTACTGATGTAACCTTTCGCTCACAACCGATGGAAATACCTTGAATGAGAAACCTTTTGATAGAAGAAAAACAAATTGATGTGTACAAGTGAACAGGGCTGTGTTTCAAAAAGCATTATAAGGCTAAATTGATCAATTGCAACCAATGGATTCTACGATCAACTTAGCTCACAATGCTTTTGAGAAACGCAGTCAGGGAGTCTAGCACAGCATACTGTTAGCGGTCCATAGAGAGAGTGTTGTAGTCGTCTGTTGCATCCCCGATAGGTTAGCTGAACAAACACTGAGTGAATAAGGATGACAGCTTCTGAAGAGCGCTTATACGTTGCTGAGGGCTTCGACACCAGGCAACACTTTACCCTCCAGCAGCTCCAGACTGGCTCCGCCTCCAGTGCTCACATGACTGACCTTATCTTCTGTGTCCCACTTGGCACAGCAGGTTGCAGTGTCTCCCCCACCTGAAAGTAGTCAATTATTAGTCTATTATAGAGACTGATATTAACTTTTTGATGGGTGTCATCATAGAGAGCAGGGTGGACTACATGACATCACACTAGATACACCACTTTTTTGGGAAATAGGCTCATTTTACCACTCTCCCAGAGTTAAACAGTTGGGTTTTACCGTTTTCGTATGCATTCAGCTGATTTTTTTGATATTTAGAAGAATCGGTAACCAGACAGTTTCTGGTCTCATTGACATCCATAGTATATTTTTTTTCCTACTATGGAAGTCAATAGAACAAGGACTTAGCAAAGCTATTTTCATGGCAATAAAACCAAGCAAAAAAAAAATCATGCCAATGGTGGTAAAAATTGCCAAATATCTGCCAATAATAATCAGCCTAGACCAGTGTTGTGCCTGAACCCGTTCAATGAACGATAGTTCCATGAATGTGTTCATATTTTTGGGCGAATGTGAACTAAACGTACCGTATTACTACCTGATGAACGTTACTGTGAACGCAGTTTAACTTTGTACAATAGGGTGCCAGATTTCTAAAAACCCGGCTAAAACACACGTAAACAGGCCTCTATAATGCGAAAAAAAAAAAAAACTATTTTGGCAACACAAGACACCAATGTCGCACCGTGGCCGAAGTCAACAAAGCTTTATGACGAGGTCGGTGAGGATGGGGAAAAAAATCGTACATTTCTGTGCAAACTTTACCCGTCGATAAAATAATTGTTGTCTGTGTTTGTATATGGGCTGTGGCAATAAAATGTTTTTAAAAAAGCTTGCAACATATGGAAAAAAAGAACTAGTTCATTTTTTGAAGTATGAACTACGAACTGAACCAGTTCATTTTAAAATGTGTGAACTGAACTTTGAACTAATTCATGTAGAAAGTGAACTTTCCCAACACTGACCTAGACAATACATCAGTCAACCATTAGTCTATTAGATGAGATATTAAAATATTCCAGGCAAAATAAAGATAAAGAAAAATAAAATTTAATGAAATTCTCACCAATAATGGTGATGCAGCCATTTTTGGTCGCTTCCACAACTTTGTCCATCAAGTTCTTGGTTCCACTAGAGAAGTTGTCCCACTCGAACACACCAACAGGTCCGTTCCACACAATCTGCTTGGCTCTGTCTACAGCCTCCGCATAGAGCTGTGAGCTCTCAGGACCACAGTCCAGACCCTGGACGCAAGGACAACCAGAAGGTCTTCTTTAAACAACTGCTTCTAGTTCACTTACAGGAAAAGGAGAAGATCAATCTGCCTTACCATCCAGCCAGCTGGAATACCATCTGCTACTGACGCACTCCCCGTTGTCGCCTTCTCGTCAAACTTGTCTGCGGTGATGAAGTCAACAGGAAGTGAGATCTTCACACCGTTCTTCTCAGCTTTAGCCATGAGGTCTTTCACAATTTTGGCACCCTCTTCATCATACAAGGAAGTGCCGATCTGAACTCAACAAGAAAACAATATTTATAACTCCAGGAGGGTATTCCAGAAATAAGGTTATGCGACATACCCAGATTAGTTTAACGATAAATAAATTAAAAACCTCAACTTTCAATTCCAGAAATTGAGTTAATGTTCAGGGCTGCGTTTCCCAAAAGAAACGTAGAACAATTGACCTATGGTTAATCCACGACCTCAACCGCGATGAGCCAATCACAGTGCGCAGCTCAGTCAGTTTTCATTCGTTTTTTCTCTTCATTTTTAAGGGTTAGTTCACCCAAAAATGAAAATTAAGTCATTAATTACTCACCCCCATGCTGTACCAACCCCGTAAGACCTTCGTTCGTCTTCGGAACACAAATGAAGATATTTTTGATTAAATTTAAGAGCTGTATAACTACCACATTGGCTCCTAAGGGACTGCCTCTTGACGGCCCAGAAAGTCAATGAAGAAAATGTTTAAATATCCCAAGTGACTACCGTGGCTCAACTATATGTTTATCAAGCGACGCGAATACTTTTTGTGCGAAAAAACAAACAAAAATAACGAGTTTATTCGACTATTTCTTTTCTTCCTTGTAGGCCAGAACGAGACTTCCTTATAGATTTCCACGACGCATGCGCGAGAATTGCGATCTGAAGTAGTGTAAGCTGGTGTAAACAGCTCTCAAATTTAATCAAAAATATCTTCATTTGTGTTCCGAAGACGAACGAAGGTCTTACGGGGTTGGTACAGCATGGGGGTGAGTAATTAATGACTTAATTTTCATTTTTGGGTGAACTAACCCTTTAAGTTTAAAATGGTCAAACGGTGTGCATGGGGTCTCCGACACAAGGTTCCCAAGAGGCTGGGCGATGGTGTATATTTTTTTTACCCTTTCCCAAGCCACATCTCAACCGAGATAAGCGTCTGCTCTGGATTAAGTTATGCGGTAGACCACAACAGCAACTAAACGTGGATAAATTAAACAAGGATGTCTACATCTGTTCTAAGTTCAGTCAACAACGTATTTGAACGTTATCTTTAAAATCTCTAGCGTAACGTTAGGCTAACATTAGAAAACGTTAGCTGCATTGTACATCATGCCACTTAGCTTCATTAACGTATATCTGTAAATAACCGAGACACCAAATATTAACAATGTTGTGCTGAATGATTATGTAAATACTGTAGCACCAAACGATCTGTGGTTTATCACGTTTACACTGTGACCTGAACATTTTTGCTTGGAGCTGAAGCTTTTCATCGACCTTCAACAATAAAATGATAAATATAACTCTCCAATGCATAGTTAAGGCCCTTTAGATGACTTCGAGGTGATATATAATCTTTCTGTCTCCAAAAAATCACCAATTGCTCCTACTGCGACAGCACGTCAATTGTCGCCAATGGTCACTACGGTCAACTTAGACTTAAACTTTGGTTTGCAGTGTGAAGGAAGCTTCAGGCCACTCACCTCCATGTTCTTGAGGACCTTGAGGAAGGTAAAGGCCATTCCTCCACCAATGATCATCTCATTCACCTTGTCCAACATGTTGTTGATCAGCTGAATCTTATCTTTGACCTTGGCCCTGTCCGATCAAAACAACAAATCAATCAAACAAAGCCTTTTCAATGAGATGTTCATTTTATCTGCATTTAAATCTCATTGGGATGAAACTACTGACGAAAGTGCCCTAATTAGAAGTCAAAAGCGAACGTGCATTGCAGTTAAGCTCATCAATGGGCCAATTCCCTGAGTGAACTTTGATATTTGGGACAAACATCAGATATGAACTGCTTCAGTAAGTACATAATGAGTGTTTAAGTTGTGCAATGGCCTGACCTTTGCAAGGCATTTGCTATCCATTCCACAAGAACACTTTGTAGTGATCATGGCTTTATTTGCCATGTTGAATCATGACAGTTTCAGCATCAGGATTTACTAAATATTATCATTGATAACCGGATTTACTTCCGGTTATCAATGATAATACTAAATAAAATAGAAATCTACAAATGTAAATAAATCTTTTTTTGGCCATATATGTGAGGCTTAAAGAACCATTAGAACAAGGAGATTGTCACACATCCTGTTGTTGCATAAGAGGATAAATGCAACTATTCCTGGACTGTCACTGATGCTTTCTGAAGAGGTTTTCAATAGAGAAATGACAGATGCGTCCAAAAAGAAGACTGAAGTACAGCCCAGTATTCTTTCAGTCATTCATTATCATTCGATAGGTGAACTCTGTAAAAGACCCTTCCTTAGATCACAAACAAGATCTTGCAGGACCAAAGTAAGGTCTTCTGATGTTTTTAATCACTAAACCTGGGTACTTATCCTCCTTAGTATTCAGAACTAAAAAGATAAGCTATCACAGCGCTCCGTCAATAACACTCACCCCCCGAGAATGGCCAGGAAAGGCCTCTGTGGTTTCTCAAGGGCCATGGCGAAGTAGTCCAGCTCCTTCTTCATCAGAAAACCAGCAGCCTTCTGAGGGAGATTCACTCCAACCATGGAGCTTGAGTGACACATTAGACATGAAAACAGAATTTGTCTCATGATGTTGATGTTTTTCAGACTAAACAATGCGAGTTTTTATTTTCCCATCAAGGTTTCATGTAAATGGAGTACCTATGAGCTCTGTGTGCAGTTCCAAAGGCATCGTTGACGTAAACATCACCCAGCTTGGACAGGGAGGCTCGGAAAGAATCGATCTCCTCCTGACTTGCTTTGGTCTGAAAAGATAAATCAAAATCATTTACAGATCATTTGATGCCACCTAAAGAACAAATAAACATATTCCAGATTAAAGGTGAACTGTGGCGAACAAATTCCTGTTCGAACTCGTTCACCAAAATGAACAAATCTTTTTCCGAGTCGTTATGTTCGTTGAATGACTCGGAAAAAGATTCATTCATTTTGATGAACCAGTTCGAATCGAATCGTTTAAAGCTCTTTGAGAAGTTTGCAGTTTGTACTTGAACCAGATCCAGTTTCCTCTTGGGAAATTCATTCATTTTCATTTTATTTGATCAATATTATGTAGTTAATCACATTGGGTGGATTTTGGGCAAGAAATCCAGCCAATCTGGCAACACTGCTTTTCAGTGTTACGTGAAATCAATGTGTAAACCAACAAAATGGAGATCTTACAGTTGGAGAAAGTATTTTAAACCCAGTTACAGAAGGACTCCTTATACATGCCGTTGTGATCACATTACTGCCATCCACATGCACTCAAAGTTCATAACTTCTAAACTAATGTGAAAGGTTACACAGGAGCCCAGATAATGGCAAGCTGCAGTTTCTCGCCAGCAAAGGACATGGCAGTTTCCCTTTCTCTTTCTTTGGTCTCTACTCGTCCCTCTCTTTCTCGTCTCCTCTACCCTGCGTGCATTCCAGCCAGGGCTTCGAGGACCAGAAAAGACACATGATCACACATGACCTTCCAACAAATGTCAATAGGTCAGCTGAGTACAGACGACTCTTATTCATGGTCTGGTGTCATTTAAAGCAGCACTGAAACTCTCTTTTGGACCTTGAACCGTTTGGTTCCCATTGAAGTTCATTATATGGAGAAAATCCTGGAATGTTTATCAAAAACCTTAATTTCTTTTCGACTGAAGAAAGAAAGAGATGGACATCTTGGATGACATGGGGGTGAGTAAACTATGAGCAAAAGTTTTTTTAAAAGTGAACTACTCCTTTAAGCGTGTGGCATTTCAGGCCAAAGATCTTACTGTATGATCAAATTTTAAGTCTGTATCTTGCATTTAATTCAGCGTAAACTCTTGTGGCTTCTTTCTGGGTGCAGTCAAAGGAAGGAAAGACTAAGAACCTTATTTTTCACATTCATTATAGTTTTTACCAGCATTTAAACAATCTTTTTATTGCCTTTCTTTAACATTTGACCACATGACTGTTTCCACTATGAACGGAGTCGATCGAATAAGTTTACGGTCCAAAAGGGGACACGCTCAAAGCATTTTAAACCCCGTTTACGTCTGTATTTAGAGTCAGCCACTTGTGATCCAATCGACCAAAACGCATCTTAATACCAAGTGTAAATAGGGCCTACGATGACCCAGCAGTTTTTACCTGCAGAGCCACTGACATACGCTGCACTGACCTTGTTCCCCGATGCATCTTTGCCCTTGCCTTCCTCGGCCACATGGAAACGCAGGTTCTCCAGCAAAATGACAGAACCGGCAGGTGGGTCTGCACAGGCTTTCTCCACATCCGGACCCACACAGTCCTTCAGGAACTGAACGTCTCTTTAAGTATATGCAAATTAAACAGCAAGGTTGGTGGCGAAGTACTAAGCTGAATTAAGTATGCATTGATTACTATTAAGATGACGCTTTTCTACCATACATTTCTGATGTTTACGCAGTAAAACTCATTCATCAGTGCTGTTAAGCAGATGTAGCTTGAAGGTTTACATTATCTTTAACTGATGGTGTAATGTGTAGGTTAAGAAGTCTCCTACTTTCCCAGCAGGCTCTTGAGTTCTGCGGCCACAGGCTCCAGAGAGTACTTGTTTGGCATTGGGACTCCATCAGGCCGGCCCAAGTGGCTCATCAGGACTACGGCTTTGGCCCCATTATCTAAACAGTGCTGAATTGATGGGACTGCAGCCTTGATTCTGATGAGAGCATATATAATATTCATAACAAATACTGTAGCACAAGGCCAACATGTGTTTTTCAACTGCGAGTCAGGTCTATATACAACATAGCCTATATATATATACAGTATATATTTATATATATATATATATATATATATATATATATATATATACTGCTGACATTCAATGAACAAACATTTATTGAGTAATCTTAATATTTTCTTTAATATTTTGCAAGAAAATATAGACATCAATAAGTAAATGATTATATACAACATATTTTATAAGCGACAAAGCCGTAAGAACTTAAGGTAAAAACGTTGCAGTTGAGGGTTTGAGCACATGAACAGCACAAAGGGGAATTATAGTGAAATTAATGAGATAAGAAAGAACCATTATTGGTTAAGAATGCAACAATACTGGTATATCAGCAATATCCATCTCACCTCTGGTTATTTGTTATTGCCTTGTCTTTCATAGGGACGTTGAAGTCAACCCTATTGGAGAGAGAAACAAATAAATGGATCTATTACCAAACTAGCTACATAAAATACTGTGGTTTGATGGAATGATTAAATTTATTAATTTCAAATAAGTAGGTTCCAGAAAGGGACAGAAAACTCTCAGATTTCATTAAAAATATGTATTCGTTTAATTGTCTTTGAAACGACATAAGGGTGAGTAAATAATAGAATTTTCAATGTTTGGGTTATATATGTATATACATATGAAGAGTTCAGATTAGTGTTGGGCGATATGCTCCATTTTCATATCGCCCTATCGTCAGCCTGTGAGATCGGCGATACACGATATTATCGTGAGGGGGCGGGGCTAACTTATTTGATTATTAACTTGATTATTTAGCCTACTCATTAATTTGCTTGTTTTATTACCCTACTTCGTTTTATATACGAGAATCTTTTTTCTATTTTGCTAGCAAAGGTGGAGTGTTTAGCCTATTAATAGGAACAGGTTATTTCCTGGTATAGTGAGGTAAAAAAAAAAAAAGAGATTCTAATCCTTTTGTTTGTCAACGGGAAATTTACGGACACATTAGCCTATCCTCACGCCGTTACATGCAGCATTTTGACTAGGGCCTATTTCTGCACGAGATGAAAACACGTTTTAATAATTTCTTGGGTCAGAAAGAGTCGGAGTTTGCGATATGTGCCCCCCTACCAGTGCGCTCTCTGCGCACTTCACATGCGCACTTCAGTAAGCACGATGTACGCGGGTTAATGTGTTTTAAATGCCGGGAGAAACAAGAGCAAGAGCCAAGCGTCGAGCTGAGTCGATCGGTTTATACTTATACTTATGACTTGACTCTGATAAAGGAAACGTTTACATGACCACATGCATTGTCAAGTTTATTCAACATAATCAGGTTAAGAACGTCGTCGCATGTAAACGCGCTCAATCTCTGAAAGTGAAAGTAAAAACGGACTGCTTTCGGCATCTGCATTAACGCCACGTTCCCTCAGAGATGACGATGATAACGGTAACTATAATACTATTTTAGTGATATTATTATTAATACTATTTAGTAATTGTATTGTTTTTAGTGTTAGTGTCATTAAACGTTTTGTTAATGTGTTACGGAAACAAATACTGACGAACAACGATGCCGTTTTTCATCTTGGATCTGTAGGAAATTGAATTTTGCGTCTGTTAAAACGAGCACACTTGATAATTTGTGAATGGATCAACTTGCAATTAAATTTTGATGTGGGATGTTCTGTTTTAAAAACATTCTCTTAGAAGAGTCCTCATTAGTGCGTGTGTTGTTGCAATTGTTATGAGGTGATGTCGTTGTAAATTTAGGCAAGGCAAATTAATTGTAGTTCCTAATATTAATTTAATAACAATACTAGCTTTATAATAATAATAATAGGCCTAATAATAATAATTTAATACATTATGGTAAAACGAGCCAATTATCGTATTGATATCGTCAAAGGCATCTGCCATCGGCGATATGTCAGACTATCGTCGATACACGATACTATCGTCTATCGGCACAACCCTAGTTCAGATGCAAAAGCCTCTAAATGCCATTTGAAATTTTCTTCTAAATTGACCATTTTTATCAAGCTTGTATATTTAAGTTCAGTAATTTCACTTAAATGATCATTTCAGAAGAAAATTTCAAACTCTTCATATATATACATATAACCCAAAAAATGGAAAATTCCATTTTCAATATTTTTTTACATGTTAGATGCGAGTAATCTATTTTGACAGCACTATATATAGCTATCATCTCTAGTAATTTGTTATGCATTCGAATGTTTATGAAACTCAAACATTTTTTAATGAATCCATAGAAATACCGTTAGGGTGATATCAGCTAAATTGGGCCACTTTTTGGTAAATTGTTTGGGACAATAATACAATACCATATATGCAGTATCCATGTGTTTTTATGATTAATTATGACTGTTTTTGATACATTTGTGTTGAAATTTTGTAATAAAATAAAATTATTTAGGCCCTACAGTTCCTGAAACATCAGAAGTGCCGAGTTTTTTTGCATGAGCCCTTTCAGGTAAAATGGGCCAGCTGTTCAGGTAAAATGGGCCAGTCAAATTGCAAAGGGAAATAGCAATTTATCATCAATTATATTTAAACACAATTTCTTATACAGCCAAATTAAACAAACATAGTTCATATGTGCCATTTAAAAACAAAAATTTGTGCGTGTGTGTGTGTGTGTCTGTCTGTGTGTCTGTCAGTGTGTGCGTGCGTTGTTTGTGTCTGTCTGTGTGTCTGAGTCTGTGTCTGAGTCTGTGTGTCTGAGTCTGTGTGTCACAGACACATACACACAGACTCAGACACAGACACACAGACACAGGTGTGTCTGTGTCTGAGTCTGTGTGTATGTGTCTGAGTCTGTGTGTCTGTGTCTGAGTCTGTGTGTCTGTGTCGGTATGTCTGAGTCTGAGTTCCTGTGTCTGAGTCGGTATGTCTGAGTCTGAGTTCCTGTGTCTGAGTCTGTGTGTCTGTCTCTGTCTAAGTCTGTGTGGCTGAGTCTGTGTGTCTGAGTCGGTATGTCTGAGTCTGAGTTCCTGTGTCTGAGTCGGTATGTCTGAGTCTGAGTTCCTGTGTCTGAGTCTGTGTGTCTGTCTCTGTCTAAGTCTGTGTGGCTGAGTCTGTGTGTCTGAGTCTCTGTGTCTGTCTGAGTCTGTGTGTCTGAGTCTGAGTTCCTGTGTCTGAGTCGGTATGTCTGAGTCTGAGTTTCTGTGTCTGAGTCGGTATGTCTGAGTCTGAGTTCCTGTGTCTGAGTCGGTATGTCTGAGTCTGAGTTCCTGTGTCTGAGTCTGTGTGTCTGAGTCTGTGTGTCTGTCTCTGTCTAAGTCTGTGTGGCTGAGTCTGTGTGTCTGAGTCTCTGTGTCTGAGTCTCTGTGTCTGTCTGAGTCTGTGTGTCTGAGTCTGTGTGTCTGAGTCGGTATGTCTGAGTCTGAGTTCCTGTGTCTGAGTTGGTATGTCTGAGTCTGAGTTCCTGTGTCTGAGTCTGTGTGTCTGAGTCTGTGTGTCTGTCTCTGTCTAAGTCTGTGTGTCTGAGTCTCTGTGTCTGAGTCTCTGTGTCTGAGTCTCTGTGTCTGTCTCTGTGTCTGAGTCTCTGTGTCTGTCTGAGTCTGTGTGTCTGTGTCTGAGTCTGTGTGTCTGAGTCCGTGTGTCTGAGTCTTTGTGTCTGAGTCGGTATGTCTGAGTCTGAGTTCCTGTGTCTGAGTCTGTGTCTGAGTCTGTGTGTCTGAGTCTGTGTGTCTGTCTGTGTCTGAGTCTGTGTGTCTGTCTCTGTCTAAGTCTGTGTGTCTGAGTCTCTGTGTCTGAGTCTCTGTGTCTGTCTGAGTCTGTGTGTCTGAGTGTGTCTGAGTCTGTGTGTCTGTATCTGTGTGTCTGTCTCAGTCTGATTTCAATTTGAAAATTAAAATTGAGCCTGTCTGAGTCTCTGTGTCTGTGTGTCAGTCTGTGTGTCTGAGTTTCTATCTGTGTGTATCTGTGTCTGAGTCTGTGTCTATTTGTGTGTGTGTGTGTGTGTGTGTGTGTCTGTGTGTCAAAGATGATGGCCCATTTTAGCTGAAACCATGTTGCCCATTTTACCTTAGTGGGTTAAGGTAAATTGGGCCGCCAAGAAAAACATCACTTTTACAAAAAATATGTTTATATACCAAACTAACAACATTATTTCTGATTAATGCCATCGAGACAGACAGTATGCATAGTTTTTTTATGAGCATGTTTGTTTTTTTATTGATGTATCATCCTTATAATAGTTCAGTGCAATTTGGTATGCCAGGCTACTTACCATGCAGCTTTTTGGTGTAGTCTCGATTTGAATTATTCCCCCGCCCACCATAGCAACCATAAACCAATCTTATCACCTGTTATTTGTCAAGCACAGTTATGACAACAGTTTGAAATCCTTTGCAGTCATTGGCTTTAAATTCCAGAGAAGCTGGGACCCCCAAACCTTAAATGGCCCATTTTACCTGATGGCCCATTTTACCTGATATCACCCTATAAAAAAGCTATTTTAATAAATAAGGATTGTACGGTGACATTAATGAACGACGTTATCTGCATCACTGCAACACAGAAACAACTAAACCTGGATCATTGAGTGCACATTGATTGCTGCACGTTCACACTGTCTCCATGACTACAGTGAATTACGTAACACTGTAAAGCCCCCTTACAGCAGTAAGATATGCATTCAGGCCAGTGTACAGAACAGCCAATGCTGTACTGTAATATTTGTAATATAACATTAGACAATATTAAAGCAATTTGGATCCTGCCTGCGGATGTTGTAAGACCACGTGCAACTGCTGCAATGTACGTAGCTATTGTGACGCACTCAACATGGCTGGCAATAACTTGTTCAAAAAGTGCTATTATTTTATCATGTGGGTATTTATATAAAGGTGAAAAATGTTAAATAAAGCGGCAGACGGTGGGCAGGGCAGGGTTGTCTGTCTAAATGCTGGCAGGACATTTGACTGTGTGTGTTCAGAATACCAAAGGCACTTTATGCCAACAGCTGCTGAGAATATGAACGTCGTTTAGCGGGATAAATTATAAACAATCTTCCACTTATGTACATAAGAAATTACCTGGCTGGCATGCATGAGTGACAGTATAACAAACAAGTAAGAACACGCCACTAAATGAATGTGCTGCTTAACTTTATGGTATAAACCCGCCAGCACACGTTCAAAATATCTAATAAAGCAGTATGTAATGTGAAAAACGTTCTGGTTGTCGGTATGGTACAAAAATAAAGTGACGGAGGCTCCCTGACCATTTGGCATTTGTAACTGGGTGGTGTCATTTCACCAAGGAATTTTAAAGCCTTTATAGACAAAAAAGTGTGATGAGTTTAAAGATTTTAATTTAACTTTAAAACAACAGAGTTAGGACTGATATTAAATGATGCGCACGCGCTAGTTTTCGGTATATCTGCCATTCAGCACGTAATTATAAAACGTGACGCGTGACAGATACACTTCCGGTTATCAATGATGGAAGTTTCATTCGCATAACCTTGCCAAAAAATCAAAGCTTAAAATGAAAAGTTAAAAAACAAGAAAGCATTTAGCCAATAAAAGAAGGTCACGATATTAATACAGTGTTAGTAAACGATATAAAGGAGTGTGCCGGTGACAATACACGCTTACCTCATGATGACGCGCTTTCCTTTCACATCCACCTTGTCCAAATTGAGTTTGTTTGACAGAGACATTCTGGCTGTAGATTTGCAGAAAAACTCTCTTTAGCTGGTGTGGTGCAGTGCTGGTTCAGCTCCCGAGTGAGTGAGACAGTGACCTTAGCTTGATGCTGATGCACACAGTGTGGGCGGGACTAATCGAGGTATGCGCTTCTAAATCCAGCGCTCATTGGATACCCTTGCTGTCAATCAATCATTCACCAATTTAGCACATAGGATGTTGTTGGACCAACGTGTTGCAATAATGCTGCCCCCTATCTATAGACCCTACCCTCTCTTACCGCAGTTGAATGAGGTGAAATAGGGTTAATAAATGTTAATGTTAACTAATAGATATATCACCTTACTTCAGTTCAATTGTTTTCTATTACAAATCTTCTGAAATGTTTTTTATGTAAATGGGGTATTATCTAATTAAATATACACTAATTTGCATATATTTTCAGAATATATAGCTGATCATTGGATAAAGCCATGTACAAATTTAATTTTAATTTTTTACAATGGGGATTTTAGATATCTTTTTTTATATAATTCATAAAATACTGCCAACTTCCAGGAGAAATTTTTTTTTTTTTAAGAATGTCATATAGATCAGGCAAATGATATGACCGAATCCCTCTGCAAACCCCTTCCAAATATAGATAGGTATAAAACTGTAACATTTAGTGTATAAGTGGAAATTTCTGGCTCAGTGCAGCAGACAAAAAAGACAAAGATGCATATTGACATTTTCAGATTTAAATAGATAAAATGAACACTTTGTTTTAGATGCTGTCTTTTCACCAATCTTGAAGACAAGTTGTGGAAGCAAAATAACCCCAAAATCTTAAAACTGGCCAGGGCATAAAAAAGATTTTGTAATTTAGTAATATGTATTACACATTAAAAATAACTTTATCTTAAAGTTCAGACCTGTAATTGGAGTTTAGAGTTTTAGAGTTTAGAGTTGTATTATGCTAAATACAAAATAGACATTCATTTGACGGTAAAAATCAAGCTAATGCAACATTTAAAATTAGAAGCTCAAATCTGACATAATCATTTAATACCACAGCTATGTAGATAAAGTAATAAGACAAATATTGATATTTATATTTTAATTTAATAAATTTTTTACAGACATGCCAAGACAGCAAGAAGATTGGATAAGGTGAAAATTGTCTCCATTTGCAAAATGGAAATGTTCAGAATGTCATTTAGGATCCCAGAGTATTCGGTCCATGACGGGAAATGCATTCATCACTCCTGCCATGGCTTGGGCTGCACCTTGCCTACAGGTGACAAATTCCATGTGATGCCTGTTGATGTGATCACCTGCAAAGACAGCAGACAAAAATCACATAATAGCACATTGAAAAAGATATGGAATTAGAAGTGTTTTTGCAGTCACTTACATATGCCCAAACAGATGTGCAAAATGCAATTCCAGCAATCATCAGAGGAGCTCCATACTTGGCATGAAATTCAGGGGACAGACCAGACTTTTGTCGCACAGCCACCTGACGGGCATTTTGACCTAATATAAAGAAAAGGGGGGAAGAGAGAAGTAGATTTAGGTTTAAACATCCTTTAACACACTATTCGTTGAAATAAGGGTCATTAAGAGTCGCTGAGTTTTTGAAAATGAGAATTATCATACAAAACATTGACCTTTTTGCAATCATAGAGCCTACAATAAGTGCAAGCTTGTAGCTAAAAGGAAAATTGCAATTTAATTTGTTAGAAACATTGTATAGAAATATAGCAGCTAATGGAATGGAAAAGCACATCATTGAGAGAGAAATATTTACAATATTTTGAGTTTATGAAGAAGAGAGACATTTTTAAACCCACAAATACATGAAGATATAAACATATCTCTATAAGGTAAGGTGACAATAGATTAAATTATTTACAAAAACGTATAAACTGACAGGGAACTACGAATGAATCCCATCAAAACTAGCTTTAGCGCACTGGGAAGTAACATCAGTGTAGGTTACTGCCCAACATTACAACAAATGCTGTTTAATGAAATGTGAAATAAAACGGCCAGTCCTCGAATGAGATATATAACTTACCGCTAAGGTTCATGGCAATCTTGGCGAAGCGATACATAGTTATTTCTCGGGACAACGGGCGGCGCGAGCTAATACCCTTGAACTGAATGGCAGAAACAAAATGGCAGAGCGGAAGTGATGAACGCGCGTTACTTACGCGCATGCACGCGCGGTGATCGAAGTAGATTCAGATTCAACATGTAAATAAATGTTAAACTAAAGTAAACTCTGATAGTTTAAAGTGATGTGATTTGTTGTTAACATATACGTTGTTATTCTAAGCATAAATAAGTTGAAATATTTATATATTTTTTTCTGAATATAATAAGGGACCATCACTGCTGTTTTTTTTTAGTTAAACAGTTTGCGGGTTGTGCAGCGTTACCTCTGCGTGTACAATTTCAGATCCAAGTTAAATCCAACATATAAACAGTAAATCACAGTCGTGTCAGGATGGCCGAGTGGTCTAAGGCGCCAGACTCAAGGGTTGCTCCCTTCCGAACAAACGGGTATTCTGGTCTCCGAATGGAGGCGTGGGTTCGAATCCCACTTCTGACACATACTTTTATGCTCGATCTATTAATAATGTTATCTCATATCTTTAATGTAAGAAATAAGCCTATCTTGTAACCATTTTTGTTTTATATGATTGTGTGACAATTTCACTCGCAAAATTAGAGGATATGTCTCCCCTATACCCACACATAATTTTGAAAAAAAAATGTGTATATGTATAGGTGAATGTGGATTATTGATTTTTTTAAAAAAAATGAAAAGTTTTGACCTGAAAGTTCATCTTTCATACAAAGGTCTGTAGTTTTTATTCTGTGGGCAAAACACATAATGCAGTGCAATACAATGACGATTGAGAGATGAACTACTAAACGTTCCTCAAAATTCTGCTGTCAAATTTGACTATTTTTAACATGACTTTTCTTTTTATATATAAAAAAAAAATATATATATATATTTATATGTGTGTGTGTGTGTATGGATAATCAAGCAAATCTAGTTGCTTCAGTCCAGTACATTTTGAAACATTACTAACAAAAAAAGTTAGTCAAAATTTCTTTTGTTTTTTTTTATCATAAAAAATCAGTAGTTTTCACAGCAAAAAAAAAAAAGGTCTTTAACTTTGAGGAAAAAAATATAAACTACAGTATCAATCATATGACAGAAGGCATGTGAAAGATTGTGTGCAACAGGTTTTTCAGCAGTGTTGATCATGTTGATAATTTAGAGGCCATTAGATATTCATGTCTCAAATAAGATACAGAAGGTTTTAGAGTTCATTCATACTGGGATAGTTCAGTTCAGGACACATATGGGGAATATTCCACCAGTAATCAGCAACTTTTACATATACTATGAACCAACATAGAGCTCTAAAACAAAATACAACACAGTGCACAATGGTAATAAATCATTTTCTTTAATAATGAACAGAAAAGCTGTTTCACAAATACTTTATTTTCGTAAAACATAAAATCTCATGGAATGTTGCATGTATCTAATCTACAGATTTCTTGAGCAGATGATCAGACTGGCATGTGATGATGAGTTCACCTGAAACCTCCTTAATCTGTATCAAGTAAAATTGAGGGAATTTCCACTCAGACTTTTGTATTCTAGTTTGTTTTGATGTTTATTTATGCATTTGGGTTAAATATTCTCTGGTTAGATAAAAATCTAGAGTCAGCAATCCAAATAAAATGAGTGAGAAATCATCTTATATTTACAGAAAGCCATATATTCCCAATGAATGCATCTTCAAATGACATGTCTCACAGTTGCTGTAGATATAATATATGTTACTTTAGTTTTAAGAATACAGAAGTGAAATTATTTATAAACATATGACGTGCTCATTAACGTCACATTAAATTACATGGAGGTTCAGACAAAAAGGCGAGTGCAACAAATCTAGGTCATTTAAGCACAGATGGAAGAGCTAGGTGTGTTCTAATCTGTCTTTTTGTCCTTGACTTCCTCATCATCCGTGTACTCTGTCGGATCTTCTCCAGGTTTAAGAAGCTTCCCAACGTAATCATATTTCTCTGCGGAGGAACATAAGAGCGTTTACTCAACAATAAGCAATGCAAGCTCATTGCAACATGAGTGTCCTTCAACTTACGCGTGAACTGGGTCTCCCACTCGCTCAGGCTCTCCTGCTGCATAGCATTGAGATCTGAAAGATCATCATGAGTTTCTTTCAAGGCCTCCTTCTCCAAACAGAACGTGGCCAGTCCTCTGGATGCATCCCTACCCGCAAAGACCCCGTAAGGGCCCTCTAAAAGACAACAAATTATCTCGTCACAAATATGTTCTTCATCTCAGAATGCAAAATAAGTAGTATCTATTATCTTAAAGGGATAGTTCACCCAAAAATTATGAAATTATGTCACTATTTACTCATGTGTAGATTTTGAAGAATGTTGGTAACAAGACATAGTTGAGACAGATGATGGACCCCATTGACTTCCATTATATACTTTTTCCTACTATGGAAGTCAATGGGTGCCGTCAACTGTTTGATTATCAGCATTATTTAAAATATCTTCTTATGTGTTCAACAGAAGAAAGAAACTAATTCAGGTTTTGAAAAGTAGCTGAATTAAGCAAAACATGACAACATATACAATTTTGTGTGAACCATCCCTTTAAATTAATATTCTGGTGCTCAGTGGACATCTGAAGTATCTAGTCAACCTTTATCCGAGTTTAGTTAATTATTCACTGATAAGCAAGAGTTTTTGGCATTGCAAAAGGCTAAAAAACACTGCAATCGTCTCATTATCAAAAGAACAAAAATGTAAACATAGCTACACTTTGACAATGTTGCGTGTCATCACTATTATCCTGACTTTTCAGTAGGTTAGTTAGGGGTTATGACTGCATTTGTACTCGTTTAAAAAGTGCGACAAAGGGGCGTGTCTGAAATTAAATTCATGCGTTTTTTAATAGGTCATGTTTGAAATAAACAGAATTCAAGAACCACGAAATTCTTATCGCACAAAATCACCTAAGATAAGTTTGTGGTTGAATTTGTGCCATACCTGGTCCGTAGAACTTCTTCCCTCTCGTAACATCAAACACTTTCCCACTGATAGCCATGAGGATTCTTGGGTTTTTCACTCCATCGTACTCTTGCAGTTCAGCTAAAGTAAAATCTCTTTTCTTTAGTTTAGGCAACGGCTCCTCAACCGGGCCAAAATCTGCAGGCTTGTCTCCACGGACGATTTTGTACAGAAGGAACAAGCAAAGACATAGCAAGCTAATGTTCAGGGGCGAAGTGAAAATTTCCTGAAAAATTCCAGAAGTTTGCTCAACATTTTCTTCAGCCATTTCGTTTCTATGTTGTGCGTGAGACCATCGAGAGACTCGTCGACGACCACAGCAGTGCACCAATCACAGGAGCCAAAAACAAACAATGGTGTGACGCCAGCCAATCAGATTCGACGGGGGTTTCTGGGGCGTGTAGTTTTTGAGTTAACTGTAATCTCAGAGCCGTCAAATAATACAATATAGAGTTTATGCTTGATTTAGTGCGTGAATCGTTTTATTTACGAATTAGTGGCTTTGCAGTTGTTATATGTTAAATATTTTATTTTAGATGTGTTCATTGTGATTATATTGGCTGGGTTTATAAACAAATACACAGTTGAAGGTTAACTGATGCTCTGTGGCTATTATTGTGGCAATGACTAATATATCAGGTTGTTAAATTTATGGGACACAGTTAGACTATAAAATATACAGTCTTTAATTCAATTTAAAGGGACAGGGTTAGTTCACCAAAAAAAAAAAAAATCAAACAGTTGACTGGACCCATTGACTTCCATAGTACTCCCCCCTCCCAATGAGTTCTGTAAAAACTGTTATAACGGTTATATTCTTTGAAATAATTTCTTTTGTGTTCAACAGAAGAAATAAACTCAAACAGTTTTTTTGTTTTACAATTGTAGGTAAACTATCCCTTTAAGAGGCGCTGTTGTTCTGTTAGGAAAGAACGTCCTCCAAACAGCAGGTGGCGGAATAATGTGTTGAGTCGATGTTTTCATTCCTCAATGGAAAGGAGAGAGTGTAACGGGAAAAACAAAACACAGCAGAGGACCAAGTCCAGTGACGTGGCCGGACCGAAGAGAAACAGTCATCAATAGGTTGGATATGTTATGGCTATCCCTTATTTATTTTAATAATAACTCCTTCCCTATAATGACTTTTATAGCCTCCAGCTTACTGGATGTTGACTAACTATTGCTAGTGAAAGTTAGCTTAGCTTTAAATACAGTACAGTATACAGTACAGTATTCCAATGTGACAGACAGATAAGTGCTTTATTTTGCAAGTATGTACTCCAGCATCAATTATACCAGCTATTCATGATCAACTCATCTCTAGAAGTTCACTTATGTCTATAATCTGTGTCTTGAATCTCATTTAATTCAGTAAAATCTTAGTCTTCAACCTCAGCAATTTGTGATGTATGTGTTGGTTTTCAATTCCATAAACTACACTGTCATGTACACAATTATATATCATATAGCTTTGCATTAAAATTGAGACGTGAAGTGTTTATTTGTCCATTTCAGGAGGCTGGAATGTGTTAAGATGTCTGACAGCGAAAGCTCCACATGTGACCGAACAGAGAAATCAATGGATCAAGAGGCCAAAGAGCCGTCATCAGCCCCGCAAGATAAGCCCTCCACTGATGCTCAAGGTGACAGCTCTACTGATGTAACGCCAACCCGAAAGACGAGGAAAAGACCCGAACTTAAACCTCCAGCAGAAGAACAGAAGAACCTAGAGGCACCGCAATCAGCAGAAAGTGCTCCAGATGTAGGCTTCTATCACTCTTTTACTTATATTGTTATTAATAATATATACACACACATTTACATTTATCATTTAGCTGATGCTTTTATCCAAAGCAACTAGGGGTTAAGAGTCTTGCTCAGGGACACATTGGTGTCTCACAGTGGATTCGAACCTGGGTCTCTCACACCAAAGGCATGCACATACACACACACGCTTGCTTCATAAAATAATATATTTACATGATTTAGAGTTAAAACAAAACATTCTCATATTATGCATTGTGGCAGCACCTCTTTTCACTCTTTGCCTGAAATGCTGTTTTAGTTTCCGCCTAACCCGAAAAGCCCAATCTGCTCCGATTGGTCAGCTGGCCCAGTCTGTTATGACGAACCAGACACTTAGCCAAGCTTTACCTTTTCTAATCATGTCCAAAAAATACTCTAAACTGATCTATTACTGAACTGTCACCTTTTTCCCATCAGCCCTCCACAGAGACGACTGTTTCCCAGGGAGGTTGGGGTTACTGGGGCAGCTGGGGTAAATCGATCCTCTCCACTGCTACTGCCACTGTAGCTACTGTGGGTAAGTGGCACAAGAGTTTCACTTTAGCTCAGGTTATACATCATCAACACTAATACAGTTGTTTTTTTCATTGTCTAAGGCCAAGGTTTGACACAGGTCATTGAGAAAGCAGAGACGTCTCTTGGAATCCCAAGTCCTGAGGAGCTTTCAGCTCAAGCGGAGGAGGAAAAAACTGATGGTAATGATGTGCTCTTCATTTGACATGCGAATTGGTATATGTGGATTTACATATCCTTAATGTTTATGATCTTTCTGCAGGTTCAGGCAGCAGTGAGACGAATAAAGATGAAGGGGAGAAGGCGTATGGGATGGGTGGTGCCATGGGAATGATCTCCTCTAGTAGTATGGGAATGCTGTCATCTTTAACCACTGTAGTTCAGAGTACGGTAAGAGCAGGCTAAATGTATGCTAGATTATGTTACATATATTAAAATTTCTGAAAAATAAAACTTAAATATTGTCATAGGCTATTTGTTTTTATTCTAAATAAATATATACAAAATCTGTTTCTCCAGATCTTATGCTTAAGTGCAAATAAAAATGCATACAAATTAAAATTATAAACAAATTATATTGTGCTTACTTGTGAATTTCATTACAAAACATAGAAAAATATAGACTGGAAAGTGAAGTAAAAGCAGCGTCGAGCATTTCTTATTTGTATTGATTATGATTATTGTATAAATAAATTATTTTAAATGCAAATGTTGTATATTTTATTTGATTGTCTTCTTATGCTTTTTGGCTAGGGTAAAACCGTAATAAGTGGTGGTTTGGATGCATTGGAGTTTATTGGGAAGAAGACCATGGATGTGATAGCAGAGGGAGACCCCGGCTTTAAGAAAACCAAGGGACTGATGATGAACAACAGAAACTCCACACTGTCACAGGTGCAGAAGCTATGAGGACTGTCTGTCCTAAATAATCCCATGGAATATATTCATAGCTACTTCAACTCCCTGCATAAATATATTATGACCTTATACTTCTACAATTCAGTTTTGCTTGTGAATGAAACTGACCTGATTCAATTGCTCATCTCTCAAAGGTCTTAAGGGAAGCAAAGGAACGTGAGCAGCAGCAGAAAGCCGAAAACGTTTCTTCGGAAACGGACAAAAAGGCTCATTATGGGATGTTGTTTGATGAGTTTCAAGGCCTGTCCCATCTGGAGGCTTTGGAGATCCTCTCTAGAGAGAGTGAAGCTAAAGTTAATAGATCTACTTTTTTTGCAAATTCAACTAATGATAGAATTTAAAATGATTTGAATGTTGGTGTGGTGTTTCTGCGCAGTTGAAATCTGTGCTGACCACTCTGTCCGGTGAAGAGTTAGCTAAACTGAGAGAGGAACTACAAGACATTAAAGAGCCTTTTTCCCTCATGGAGTTTGATGATGAGGTGGAGGATGACATGAAAGGTAAAACGGATACAAAGTTAAAGTAAAAAAATATAATATATTGCCCGATTTTAAAAATCTTGATTTTGTTTTTGGAGTCTACTAGAATAGGTTTTCATGCTTGAATGTTCAAAACACATTTGAAATTGTTGCAAAACCTCTCTTCCCTAGGAAGTGTATTGCATTCATTTGAGGAAACAAAATCTACTCTGTTTTTCTGAATTAACGAGTTAATTATAGATATATTTTTCTTGAAAAAAAAATGTTACACTCTGTTTTTATGAATTAATGAGTTTTTTGATTAATTTTGAAGATAATCAAGTCATTAATTCAGAAAAACAGAGCAAAACCTTTTTTTTTCCGTGAAAAATGATCTCATAATTCTGAGATAATTAACTCGTTAATTCAGAAAAACAGAGCAAAAACTTTTTTCCGTGAAAAATGATCTCACAATTCTGAGATAATTGACTCGTTACTTCAGAAAAACAGAGCAAAAACTTTTTTTCCATGAAAAATGATCTCATAATTCTGAGATAATTAACTCTTTTTTTCCGTGAAAAATGATCTCATAATTCTGAGATAATTAACCCGTTAATTCAGAAAAACAGAGCAAAACCTTTTTTTCCGTGAAAAATGATCTCACAATTCTGAGATAATTGACTCGTTAATTCAGAAAAACAGAGCAAAAACTTTTTTCCATGAAAAATGATCTCATAATTCTGAGATAATAGACTCGTTAATTCAGAAAAACAGAGCAAAAACTTTTTTTCCATGAAAAATGATCTCACAATTCTGAGATAATTGACTCGTTAATTCAGAAAAACAGAGCAAAACCTTTTTTCCGTGAAAAATGATCTCACAATTCTGAGATAATTAACTCGTTATTTCAGAAAAACAGAGCAAAAACTTTTTTCCATGAAAAATGATCTCATAATTCTGAGATAATTGACTCGTTAATTCAGAAAAACAGAGCAAAAACTTTTTTCATGCATGCATAATTGGACCACTTTAACATTTCGGATTCAGTAAATAAACATATTTTTGTTGTGCACATAAAGAAAATAAATCTTCATTTTTATCCTCAGGTGATGATGGAGAGGATTTTGTGAAGGAACTGACAGATGTTCTTGAAAGATTACAGATCTCCACATCAGCTGACAAACTAAGCAAGGTATTACCCGAGCGTCTCTTCGTAATTGTAATCTTCATGTATTTTGTGTGTCCGATTATTTACTATTACTCATATCCACTCAGGCCAGAAAAAACGCATCCAACCATTTAACAAATATGAAGCTACAAAGTGAAAGCACACAGCAAGAAGAAGAAGAACAGGAAACGCCAGTGACAAAATACAGCGTTGAGGTTTTCATCTTTTGTTAACTAAAAGTCTTTTAGATATGCATACATATCTTTAATAGAGTAATGAATCTGTGTTTTGACAATTCAAGTTACTCTTTTTTTTTTTCATAGGAGGCCCATTTGTTTGCCATTACAAGTCTGGCCGAGTTCACAGCCAGATCCATAGAGCAGTTCCAGAAAACAGCTGAAATGCTGCTTCACTGTAACACTGAGGAGGCGACGGCCTCCGAACAAGCCAAAGTCTTATCGC